AAACACTCGCTACGCACCTCCTGATTCAGAGTTACGCTGCTCTTATAACACCATCTGTCACGTATGTTCTGCATAGAACGAGGAGAGGAAGTGAAGTTTAATGATCGTGGGAAATTTTAGGAGCGGCGGTCCTGATTCAGCAGTGGAGCATCCATATAGGGGAAACACTGATACAACATTGGGGTGGTGATGGCACATGGATAAGATGCTTGCGTTTGGTGTGGGAGACCCGGGTTCGATTCCCACTGTGACCCATCCACCACTGTGTCCCTGAGCAAGACACTTAACCCCTTGTTGCTATTCAGCACTTAAGTCTCATTTCATTCATATCAAAATCTTCAAGATTATTAAAAGTATTTATTATATATAACATATTTACTATACAAACTGTAAACTGCCACTGAATGCCGCTGTCAATATTGTACATGTAGTTATTTGTCCAAAAGAAGGCAAGGCAAGTTTATTTGTATAGCACATTTCAAAAACAAGGTAAATGTGTAAATATTTAATTAAAAGCAATGGTACAAAGCAAACAGGACAGTAAAATTTACAGTGCAGTGTAAGTTATAAAGGCAGTTGTAAAAAGAAAAGTCTTCAGTCTTAATTTAAAAGAACTGACTGTTTCAGCTGACCTGCAGTTATCTGGGAGTTTGTTCCAGATATACGGAGCATAATAACTGAACGCTGCTTCTCCTTGTTTAGATTTGACTCTGGGGACAGAAAGCAGACCTGATCCCAGACGACCTGAGAGGTCTGGATGCTTCATAACGAAGCAGAAGATCAGAAATGTATTTTGTCCCTAAACTATTTAGTGCTTTATAATCTAACAGCAGGATTTCAAAATCAATTCTCTGACAGACAGGAAGCCAATGTAAAGTCCCTCAGAACTGGAGTGATGTGATCCACCTTTTTGGTCTTAGTGAGGACTCGAGCAGCAGCGTTCTGAATCAGCTGCAGCTGTCTGATGGATTTCTTAAGGAGCCTGTAAGGACACTGTTACAGTAGTCGAGTCGACTGAAGATAAATGCATGAATAAGCTTTTCCAGGTCCTGCTGAGAAATAAGTCCTTTAATCCTTGATATATTCTTCAGGTGATAGTAGGCTGACTTTGTAATTGTCGTAATGTGGCTCCTCAAATTCAGGTCTGAGTCCATGACTACACCAAGATTTCTGGCTTGATTTGTGGTTCTTAACATTACAGATTGAAGTCGAGCGCTGACTTTCAATCGTTCCTCCCTGGCTCCAAAAACAATAACTTCAGTTTTATCCTTGTTTAACTGAAGAAAATTCTGGCACATCCAATCGTTGACCTGCTCAATACAGTTACTCAGCGCCTGTATGGGTTCATAGTCCCCTGGGGAAATGGGACTGGGATAAAATAAAGATCTATATCGTTTAGACCGTTCGGTGTAGCTTTTTCACACTTAAACAGCGTGCAAAGACTCTGCTGGCTTTATGAATTAAACTTAGTTGAACTGAAGTTTATGTACTACGACAGTGTTTCGTACCCTTTCCTGAAGAAAGTTACCCCCTGTCCTGCATGATTTAATCTCTCCCTGCTTCAACACAGCTGATTGAAGCAGCTTCAGGATTCATAACCAGTTGATAGTTTGAATCAGCTGTTTTGGAGCAGTGAAAGATTTAACACACACTGTTATATAAACAGTTACCCACATAAAGAAACTCCTCCTCACCACAGCCACTGTTGGCATATCATAATTTGCGTGATTTAGATGTACAAAAATTGATAGTGGTAGATATTTTGATGGAACATGCCAAGACACATTCATTCAGCCGCATGAATGTCATTACGACATGATTAATAATAATTAATATGATACCATAAAGGGCGGATTTGCGTCTCTCCTTGAGCAGCTGTCTTTGTTGGTTAATTTCAGGCTTTTGAAACTTAATCTTTGTTGCAGTATCTCACACATCTGGGGCAAGTAGTGGGCTGCTGTGTGTGTGTGAGAGAGAGAGAGTGTTGACCACGTAATGAGCAAAGAAGCCTCTGTCCAGGCTTCTGTTATTTGTTTATTAATCCCCGCCGGTAACGTCCGTTATACTACAGACCCCCACGAAGCTCAAATAGTAGTCCAGTTCCCACAGTTGTCCGTTTTTCCTATTAAATTCAGCAGTAAATTGCCATAGTACATTAGACTACTCTTCAAAGGGAAATTATGAATGAGAAGTGTGTTTGTGTATGTGTGTGATTTAAGAAGACTGGAAGAGAGGCTAAGTTGCACTCTAAATCACCAATGATGTTTAGCTAGCTTTATGGACGGACTTAACATCCTATTTTGACAGAATAAATAAATAGTGCTTGTAAAAAAAATAAAAATTAAAGCTGCAAGCAGCGTTGGGCGGGCCCCGACCGAGTTGCACATTCTGGAGCTCTGCCGGTGCGGCTGTGAATTTGCTACGGGTTCCGACGCCGCATGAAGGTGCTATATGTCACTTCCTGTGTCCCCTATGTGGAGCTACATAGCACTTGCCGCTATGAATATAAATCGGTATTGGCGTGTAGATGTCTGCGGGGTGGGAGAGTTATCAAGCACGTAAAGTTTGGTTCAGATGTGAGCATGTGCACTGAACAATAATGTACCCAAACAATAAAATAAATTCCTTTTATATTTCCCTGCCTTGTTGTTTATGTGTACATACAGAGGAAGAATGTGAGAACAGCACACATTTCATCGTTACTGTGTGTTAGAGCATGGGAGAACAGTGCATACTTTTAATACAGCCCACACCCCTAATACTGTGTAACTATAACAAGTAGAGAACAGAAGAAAAAGATGTTCTTTCTTTACAACTGTCTGCATAGCTTATTCATATTGTGTAATGAATGAAAATAAATAGGCCTACTAGGCTCCTCTCTACTTTGACATTTAAGATTAGCTGGTTTGATCCACCTTCATACACATGTGACATTACTGTACAACTTGAGAAAGGTGAGTTGTTTTCTGCTCCAGCCTGCCTAAAAGAAAAGCATTTTTGGGATTAAATGGACTTTATTAGCTGCTGCAGTGCAGGATGAACTCAGAACAGACCCATTTCTCACCTTATTCTAAATCATGCAACGAAGAAGAAGAAATGCATAATAAATCCTGGGACAAAATCTGTCCACAAATACTGTACAGCATGTAGTCTGATGAACAAGACTTGTGTTATAGCTGACTTGGGCAGTGAAATGTTTAATTTTTTAAATTCATGTGGTCATAGTTGTCCACAAATCAAATAAGAATATAAGAAGAAATGTTTTATACCACCTCAAGAAGGCTTCCTATCAGAAAGGTAGGAAGGTATTTCTAATGTACAACTGCAGTACTTAACTCTAAGTAATTTCCCTGACATTTTTGTGTTACTTTACTTTTAATAGACGCATGTAACAGGTTTTATACTTCCTGTGAGTATAATCCAATCAATCTTATTTTCATACTGTATATCCGTTGTGTAATTTGATAAATTGTGTTGTATGTGGTGCTCGCATCGGGTACTACTGAGACTTCATTGCCCTCTTCAGAGAAGACTCTGACTGCAACATGCATCTTTGTAAAGAGAGAAACAGACAGAAAAAGTCTCTAACTCTGCCTGTCAGCTCGCTCTGCTCCGTTAAAACTGAATTTACCATACAGAATTGAATACGAGTGCACTCCAGATTTAGCTGCAGCCAGCTGACCGTGTGCTTCTACCTGTACCGCAGTTCTGTGTCCATGCATGCAGCAAACTGAAAGCACTGTCTGTCGGAGCGTCTACGTGAAAAGAGAAGGAAGACATTGCTGGTAGTATTGTCTTCAGAGTTGCCCCTCCTCATTTGCATAATGAGGCAGAAATGCATACAGAAATTTAAAAAGTACAGGCAGAAATAAATACCATAAATACCATACCAACAGACAAAAATATTAAAACACACACATAAATAAATACATTTAAAAAATTAGTAATAAATAAAGTTGAATAAACAAATAAGGTCATTATAACAAAGGTGAATAAGTAAAGGTGCTAATTAAAATATATACATTTGTCTCCTTGTATAATTTAATTAATACCTACATTTAGTTATTTACTTTTATTTTTTTGTGTATTTAATTGGATGCTTATTTATTTATTGAGCATTTATTTATATCTGTATTTATTTGACTGTCAGGATCGGTCCTCCATAGCGGGGTGGGAGAGTTATCAAGCACGTAAAGTTTGGTTCAGATGTGAGCATGTACACTGAAGTTACAACAACTTCCTGTGTCATGGCGAAGACTTGATCTTTGACGCCACGCCACGGACACACCCATTCACGAAAACTCGCAAATAGCACAACTTTTCATCGTCAATGCCTTTAGAAGGCACAGCAGAAATTTGAGGTCAGTCGGACTAAATCCCTAGGAGGAGTTCGTTAAAGTACGAAGTGTGTAAATAATCCAAAAATGGCCGTAAAATTCAAAATGGCCGACTTCCTGTTGGGTTTAGGCTATGGCTCCAAGAGAATCATTGATTTTGGATGCCATGCCATGGGTTAGCCGTTCCACGAAAACTCACTGTTTGTACAACTGTTAATAGTCAGTGGGTTTAGACTACACAATGAAAATTTGATGTTGATTTAGATTAATTCTTAAAATTAGATTACTTTGCAGAAAAAAAAATCCCTTCAGTTTCAATATGGACCTCGCATGTTTCATGCTCGGGCCCTCAAAAGTGCACAAAAAAACTACTCAATAATAGAAACTTGATTAATTGTAATTTGTTACTTTCTGTCATTTATTACATATTCAGTACATATTGAGTATGATTGACTATGTAATAGAAAGTCCTAATCACTGTGGTACGGTAGGTTAGTATGTGATTTCAAAGATATACTCTGTCATTTATGGTTATAGATAGCTCGCTCCACCATGACATTCACTTACTGTTTCTCTCTGTTATAGAGGAGAGGAAGAGATGGAATCAAACGTCACCGCTGTGAGCACTGTGACAGATCCTTCACAACATCTGGATATTTGAAGATTCATCTGAGACTTCACACTGGAGAGAAACCGTACAGCTGTGACCAGTGTGGGAAAACTTTCACTGCATCAGGTGCCCTAAAAAAACACCAACGTGTTCACACTGGAGAGAAACCGCACAGGTGTGAACAGTGTGGAAAAACTTTCACTGCATCAGGCCACCTAAAGGAGCACCAACGTGTTCACACTGGAGAGAAACCGTACTGGTGTGAACTGTGTGGGAACGCTTTCACTACATCAGGTGTCCTAAAACAACACCAACGTGTTCACACTGGAGAGAAACCGTACAGGTGTGAACAGTGTGGAAAAACTTTTGCTGCACTAGATAACCTAAAAACCCACCACCGTGTTCACACTGGAGAGAAACCGTACTGGTGTGAACAGTGTGGAAAAACTTTTGCTGCATCAGGTCAACTAAAAACCCACCAACGTGTTCATAATGAAAAGAGACCATACTGGTGTGAACAGTGTGGAAAAACTTTCACTCAATCAGGTCACTTAAAAATCCACCAACGTGTTCACACTGGAGAGAAACCGTATTGGTGTGAGCATTGTGGAAAAACTTTCTTTAAATCAGGTGCCCTAAAAATCCACCAACGTGTTCACACTGGAGAGAAACCGTACTGGTGTGAACAGTGTGGAAAAACTTTCTCTAAATCAGGTGACCTAAAAATCCACAGACGTGTTCACACTGGAGAGAAACCGTACAGCTGTGGCCAATGTGGTAATTCTTATACCAACAGGAGAACTCTTAGAAGACACAAATGTATCCACAAAGCGTCAGTGTGACATTTTCCACAGAGCCGAGCTAGCTGTTTCCTCCTGCCCTGAATACAACCAGCTGTTATCATGTGACTGTGCTGGACTAACGTCATGTGATGACAGCTGAGGAAGTTTGATTTGGAAAGAGCTGGAAAGCGTCAGTCCGGAGGGTTTATCAGCCAATAACAAAATTAAATTGGAGTATCCAGGTTTCAACCAGTAGAGGGCAGTCACTGCATTTTATAGCACTATGTGAGTCCAGATTTGGACCTGAATCCATCAACAACTCTACTAAATACCCATACACGTTGGTTATCAGCTGAAATAAGAGGTTTGGGGGTTTAGTGAGTCTTTAAGGGCGCACTCACACTATGCGATCCGTACTGGGCACAGTTACCCCCCAAAGTTTGGTTCGTTTGACCAGTGTGATCGTTTAAACTGGACTCTGGCACAGTACACGTGTAGTGTGATCGCTAACCGTGCACGAGCACAGAACCCCGACACAAACCCCACTGTGCAGTGCAAAAGAGCGCTTTTTCTTTACAAAATGACAGTTGATATTGACTTAACGCTCTTTACAGCATGCTTACCGCAACAACCGAGCTGTGATCTAATGTTAACATAGCTCTCCTTATTAGCTAGGCTCCTCCTTTTTTGGGTCTCCGACATTGACAGTTGTGTTGGACAAATTTGTGCAGCGGTGTTGGAGAGAGAGAGACATGGTGCTGCGCGAATATATGCGCAGCACCATGCGCTGCAATCAACTACGATTTTAAATAGGCCTGGCCTGGTAAAAAATCATATCAATTAGGGTTGAAACGATTCATCGATAAAATTGATTCATAAAATGCCTTGACACAAATTCTTTGCATCAATGCTTTGTTTATTCCATGTAACTATACAGCACACTGTTTAGCAGGGACATTTATTACTGTCGCACATCGCGCTTACGCTGTGAACACGACGTGATTATAATGGATCTGTTTGCAAAGTGGAGAAAGAAAATTTTTTTCCAAAGTATGGGATTATTTCAAGTTAAAGAAAATAACAACTCTGTAATGTTACAGTCCATCCACCGTAAAACAAAATTTATGTCGCCTAGGCAACAGCACGACAGCACCTTATCAGAAAGCACAGGTGTTCTGCCAGCGGACTACAGACAAAGTAACAGCCCCCTGTGTCTTGTTCAAGAGTGGCTTGACACAAGGAATGCGACAGCTGAAACCCATGTCTTGCATACGTCTGTGCGTGGTGGTTCTTGAAGCACTGACTCCAGCTGCAGTCCACTCTTTGTGAATCTCCCCCACAGTTTTGAATGGGTTTTTTTTCACAATCCTCTCCAGGGTGCGGTTATTCCTATTGCTTGTACACTTTTTTCTACCACATCTTTTCCTTCCCTTCGCCTCTCTATTAATGTGCTTGGACACAGAGCTCTGTGAACAGCCAGCCTCTTTAGCAATGACCTTTTGTGTCTTGCCCTCCTTGTGCAAGGTGTCAGTGGTCGTCTTTTGGACAGCCGTCAAGTCAGCGGTCTTCCCCATGATTGTAGCCTACAGAACTAGACTGAGAGACCATTTAAAGGCCTTTGCAGGTGTTTTGAGTTAATTAGCTGATTAGAGTGTGGCACCAGGTGTCTTCAATATTGAACCTTTTCACAATATTCTAATTTTCTGAGATACTGATTTTGGGGTTTTCATTAGTTGTCAGTTATAATCATCAAAAATTAAAAGGAATGAACACTTGAAATATATCAGTCTGTGTGGAATGAATGTATACATTATCCAAGTTTCACTTTTTGAATGGAATTACTGAAATAAATCAACTTGATATTCTAATTATATGACCAGCACCTGTCTGTTTTTGTTATTGAGTTGTAGTTAAATGTATTTACATGAAATAATCTATTTTATTCTATATTCACTGTGTTTATTTTTCTATTGCGGATGGTGGGTGGCTGATCTCAGATGATCTTGGAGGTGAAGATGCTTGATTTGGAGGTCCTGGGCTGGTGTGGTTACACGCGGTTGTGAGGCCGGTTGGATGTACTGCCAAATTCTCTGAAATGCCTTTTTGGAGGTGGCTTATGGTAGAGAAATTAACATTAAAATCACGGGCAACAGCTCTGGTGGATGTATCTGCAGTCAGCATGCCGATTGCACTCTCCCTCAAAACCTGCGACATCTGTGGCATTGTGCTGTGTGATGGAAGTTTCAAGTGGCCTTTTATTGTGGCCAGCCTAAGGCACACCTGTTACCCATGCTGTCGGATCAGCATCTTGATATGCCACACCTGTGAGGTGGATGGATTATCTCAGCAAAAGAGTGCTCACTAACACAGATTTTAACAGATTTGTGAACAACGTAAAACAAAAATAAAAGTGTTGCGTTTATAATTTTGTTCAGTATAAGTCCAGTTTTATAAATTACTCTGAAGATTGGTACCACAACCCGGGGCTGCATTAAGATTACACTCTCAACGAGCATCTGTTCTGCTGTCAATATACGTATAAGAAAGATCTTTGGTTTAGAAACACAAACTGAACAAAAGGACGTACAGTATCAGAGACAGTCACAGACGTCACTACATAGATCTGAAGATCACTTTTTTCTAACCTGCTCTGACTGCAGGAAATGAACCTTCCCGTCTCCATGGTGATGACCCCGCCCACGTCAGTAACTAACATAACTTATTTGTGTGACTTTCCCCCGGAGGCTCAATGTGAGCACAGCTAAATGTACTGGGTGATAACAAAACTGTTAGTGAGACTAACTGGACTGAATAGTTGGATGGAAAACCCTGAGTTAACAGAGCCAGTCTATAAGCAGCTTCATGATACTGGTTATCCAGGACGGCCATTGTTAGTCTCACTGAGACCAGATCAACCAGAGAGACCCAGACTCAGTTAAACCTGCTTCAGGATTCACAAGAGGAAGAAGAGAGAAGTCTTTTGGCTGAAGAAGAGGAAGCAGACAGAGTGACAGAGTTTTTAGGATTCATTTCTGATTTGGATTCCACACACATGGAATCATTTTCATTTGCTGAATCATCATGAAGACGTTCAGAGCCTCTGCTGCTGCTGTTATTGCCTTTTACACTTCTGGAGGAATATTTATATTAGAATTTCCACTTTTACTGTCCATCAGATCGGCCGACCAATCAACAAGCAGCCTGTTTCTGCCCGGCAACAGACGTCCTCATAGGATCCAGCCGGGCTCTTCCTTCCTCAAGAGGGGTCCAACTGCAGACCTCCACTGTCAGGCGGGTCAGTTTTTTACGTCCCCACAGGACGTAACTTGATGCATTCTCACATTCACGGTATTTTGTAGTTTTTTGCGTGTACTTCCTGTCCTGACCGGCCTGACAGTGGAGGTCTTGCTTTCCTCCACCTGTGAAAGTGAGGAGAACATCCTGGATGATGGAGGAGCTCAGTGGATCTCTGGGTCACCGGCTGGAGGACGGAGGAAGCAGAATGACCCAGAGACAACATGCTGCCTGTGAGGACGTCCCAGCAGAGACATGGAGGGGAGGGTTACACCATCACTACACATCTGTGTGTGTGTTGAAGAACAAACATCACATGACACACCAGTCTTTCAACAACACGTTGAGAGGGTCTTCCAGAGATGTCAGTCAGGCCTTTTGAGGAAAAATTTAAAATGTGGCTGATATTGTACAACAGTTTGCTAACAAATGCAAACAAAAAGTTTCCTCTCTTCAAATGCTGACCGCCCAGTGTATCAGTCAGGGCCACAGTGCTGACTTTGTTAGTGTGGGCATACGTACAGAGGTCTAGCAGATCATGTGTTGCTGGCAGCACTTCTGAACAGCGAACATCAACTTTTTCTAGGTTTTCCTTCCTTCGTGTTTTTCTGAATAATATATACACATAAATGCCAATGTATGGGAGGAACTGCTCCACAGGTGAACAGTAAAACATGAAACTATAACAAAACATACAAAAATAAGTTTCACTCCAGGCAATAATGAAGGACCCATTTTACACAAAAAGTCACAGAACAGAGTCAAGATATGGTCAGTGGGAGAGGGTGCTGGGGCGCCATCTAGTGTGTCTGCCACTGTGTTTACAGCATGTTCATTGAACAAGCAAGGCTGCTGCTTATTGTGTTTCTCTCTCTCCTGCCCAATCTCAGCTGTTTCAGGGGTTTCTGCCCACATGGCTGACTGACTACAGGCCCGTGGAGTGGGATCCAAGAACACTGTAAAGATGGTGATGGATACAACTGCTACTGCTTTCTCAGCTCTGCTTCACAACCTGAAGCCAGGAGATTGGGTACTTTTTTAGGGCAACATGAGGAAGCACTGCAGGCAGAGGCACTATCAGAGGACAACCATAGGAAGAACAAGAGGGACAGGACTAAATGACCACAGACCCTGACATCTGTGGTTATGAAGTCTTTTGAGCACCTACTGTTGTCCCACCTCATATCCATCACAAACCCTCTCCTCTCAACAAATTGTGGCATGTTTAGTTCAGCCGAGCTGTGATGACTGGAGGTTATCAGTGTTGGGAGTAATGCGTTACTAAAGTAACACACAATTGCTGTAATTTTTTGCTTTTTGCTGTAACGCAGTAATATAACGCATTACTAGCACTTGGGAATATTATACCCGTTACAAGGAACACGCTTCCATCATATTTTAACCTGATATTAAGTGGTTGTTTTTTTTAATAATTCACAAACATTGAGAAACATTTCAGCACCAGAAAAACAAATTCATGAGTAAAAGAATAATGTTCATTGTTGCATGTATCAAATATATACTTCTTCTCATTTAACAATATGTACTTTGGTAGCTTTGATTGTCACATTACAACATTAAAATGTAGTTTGTAACTCCAGTACACAACAATCACATAATGGTAAATAGAAATAAACCATATTCCACAGAGCAATGCAGAGGATGAGTTTGAGTTTTTAAGTCTTTCAGTCTGGGGGAAGAA